CCCCCCCCCCCCCCCCCCCCCCCCCCCCCCCCCCCCTCTCCCACACTCCCAGAGACGCACATGACAAACTTGAGTTGATGCGTTCAGAGGCCGGAAAGCACAAACAGAGTAATGACTGGTGAACGTTTCAAACGTGACTGAATAACCGGAGACCTTTCTTGGACATCCGTTACTCCTAAACACACACACACACACACACACACGCACACAACCTTGGTCATAGAGGAGATATTCTACATATAACAGGCTGAGTCCGAGGTTCTGCACACTTCTGAATTCACTGCATCGCTGCTGACCGTCGAAGGATACAAAGTCGCAGACTGAAATAGAAAGATGCAGCACTAGAGGGAAAGAGTAGTGAAGAGATAGTAAGTGATAGTAAACAACAGTGAGTAAGACAGAGGAAGCCCAAAGCCACCAAAAACAAGGAGGGATAAGAGGTGTGACACACTGTCCGGTGCTTCAGCCCGGCCTTGGTGCAGACAGTTCACCTCCTCAACATCTGAGAGACAGTTTCTTTTTTTGTCTCACTCTATTTTGTGCATTACTTTCATCAAATGCAACGCTGCGGATATGTACACCTTTGGCTGCTGGGGTCGGTGTTACTGATCCGCCTCACCTCAGGGGTCCCGGCCGTGAATGGGGACGCGGCGCCGACGCATCGAGGCTCCCACCCGGAGCCTCCACCTGAGTTCAAATCCAACTCGAGTCAGACGGAACACGGCCACGGCTCCAGCGTCATCACAGGAATACCCGTCGTGACCTTTAAGTGGCACCATGTGGAGGCTCCTTATCTAGTTGTATTATGGATATTGGTGGCTGGTTTGGCTAAATTGGGTATGTAACAAACAGTTTAGGAAATAGAATGTGCTAGAAAGGTGTTTCTTGAGATGAGAGAAGAAACAGCAAAGCGTCAGCCAGTCAGAGTTATGTGTCACACATAGTTTGGATTTTGCAGTCTGACAGATTCCACCGTCAAACAAGATAATGTGGAGCTATATTTAACCCACAATGTCAAGTGTAATCCTGTTGCCACACGCACTGACTGTCTCTGATCCTCCACATGTTTGCATATGCAGGAATTATTCCTATTATCTCGTATGAAAACATACTATTTTCTTAACTTAAAAAACTAAAATGGTTTTGTGAAATGAGCTAGGATTCATTAAAAAGAAAGTTTTTTTAAAGTGTTTATATATGAGATTGACCACATAAGCATGGCTTCAACTTTAAGATTGGGAAAACAGCACATCCATTTTATTTAAATTCTAACACTCAAAATCTCAGCTGATCTGCTTCAGCTGTGCATGCTTTGATCAAATTTGACTGATAGTGCCGGCAACATAAGCAAACAAACACATAGCGGCTTTCAGCGGGGAGAAGGTATGTTTTGGCGTAGCGAGAATCTTTCAAATTGCAACGCGTTATGTGACTGATATTGTAACAACCAGTGTCAGTGAGCAGTCTGTGTTATGAACACAGACCGATAAACAGAAGAGTGTCTCAAGCGTTTCTGATCTTTTTATAAACACTTCATTGTTTAATATTTGATCCTATTGAATAGCACGAAACTTGTGTGCTGAAAGAGGTGAAAAAAGATGCATCACATTTACCCGCTACACTGATCTGCTGCTTGCTTTCCTAGCTTCTTTCCACTTTTCATGCACAAATACAAACGGCATCGAAACATAACAGACCTTCATCGCAAGCTTTCTGAATTTAATCTTCAGCCACTTTTGCACGGCAACAGTTGAACCCCGTTGGCTGCAAGGAGAAATCAACATTCTGAAATGGGTCTATTGTAACGGTTCAGGAGGTTTGATTATTAAATCAACTTAAGTGTCACTTTGTCAGACCATTAAGTCAAGTAACCTAAAGCAAAAGTCTGTCTTTAGTTACGCAGAGAGATTAATAAACCGTCACACGCGTCACCAGGCTGGTTAATCATATGCCCAGAACAAAAAGTGTCACTTTCTCAGTCGAACGCAACAGTTGATCATTTGCAAATTTTGCAACCTCTCAAAGTTTTAGTTTTATGGTTTCTTTCTGACGCAATGAGTTTTAAACTTTGTCACCCGAGACCCAAAATTAAACATGGGCCCTAAGAAGATTCTGTCTTATTACTGGTTATTATGAATCTACTCTTGGTTCTTATGTGGGAACCTACTAGAGAACGCCTCACAATAAATTGTATTTGTTTTTGATCAATTAAAAAAAACCAAAAAAAAAACCTTCTTCTCCTCTTCTCTCAGTCATCGAGGCCAACCACCATGTGACCAGTGTGATCCCAGAGAGTGCCTTGCTCATCTGCTTTGGCTTCATTCTGGGGGGGATCATTTGGGGTGCAGACCAGGTGCAGACCTTCAAGCTGACCCCAACGGTGTTCTTCTTCTACCTGTTGCCTCAAATCATCCTGGATGCGGGCTATTCCATGCCAAACAAGCTCTTCTTCAGCAACATGGGCGCCATCTTGGTCTACGCCGTCATTGGGACCTGCTGGAACGCCGCCAGCTTGGGGCTGTCGCTGTGGGGGTGTCACAAGGGGGGAGCCATGGGTAAGAGACTTTCACTTCAGCAGGCTGCCCGCTACTTACAGTGAAATGGGTCAGGATCATTCTGCGATGTTCAGATTAAGGGGCCTCAAAAGATTTTCTGTAGTTTATTTCTGTAGTTTATTTCTATAAAGGGTGTAAGATAGGAAGGGGTGAGTCAGAGTGACGATATAAAACAAAAAGGAAAGAACAGTCAACTACAACAGGAAGATAGTTATTGGCCTCTGATTTGGCCTGCAAAATTCGTCCATAATTCTGCGGGGAAAGAATAGAAAAAAGACGCTCCAGAGCTCGCAAGAGAATTGTCACATTTCTAAGTTCCCTTAAAGGAACAGTGTGTAGCATTTCGGGGGATTTATTGACAGCAATGGAATATAATATTTGGTGACAAAAGCTGGCTCCATATACGTCACCTGGTTCCGGATCAGCCAATAGCAAAATTCCCTTACAATAGCCCGGTTTCAACCAGCCGAGGGCAGTCACTATGAATATTCATAACACAATATGTGCATGTATGGGGGATTAGTTACTCTTTGAATACAATCCAAATGTAGTGTGTAATCTCGCGCCCTGTGTGCGGTGCTGTAGGTGACCTGGACATCGGCCTGCTGCAGTATCTTCTCTTCGGCAGTCTGATTGCTGCTGTGGACCCTGTGGCCGTCATCGCCGTGTTCGAGCAAGTCCACGTCAACGAGGTCCTCTTCATCATGGTGTTTGGAGAGTCGCTGCTCAACGACGGCGTGACAGTGGTTCGTATGCTACAGTGTTCTTTTTGTTGTTGTTGTTGTTGTTTCATGTTACCAGAGGAGCAGAACAGTTTGTTCTGAGACATCCATCATTGGAAATTACACTTTAAAGACACGAAGTATAAAGAGTGCAAACATTGTGCACTTCAATATAAGAGCCTTTGCCCTGACTGAGGTCTTGTTCCCTTGCCTGAACTTTATCCCTCACTGGTCAATAAAAAACAGCTCTTTGAAGAGGTTAATCATATAAGAAACATTGACTGTATGTGTTATGAATCATGAAATTCCACTCTATTGAAGCTACAGTGAGGATTGAAAGGGGGCAAATGAGTTACTTTCAACTTTCCACACCTTTCTAATGACAGACTCTGAAATCTTTGAGCCTTATTGAAACAAGCATTGTACTGTCAAAACTTTGCAGCTTGAATTTGGGGGATTTTAATGTGGTAATCATCAAAGGTTGCACGCACATCCACACTGTAGTTGCAGGTGCTGGGTGTCAATAATCTGCACCAAAATATGGAAAAATACCTGCACACTGCTGTTTCCTTCCCAGTTCCTCATTGATTCTACAAGGACATGAGAATGGTTTGACCCCATATTATGTAAACAAACCTTTATGTATCAGCTGTAATGAATCGTCACACATCATCATGAATATGTACATGTGAAGATAATATGTCATATTATTTAACTGATGGGAGGGAAAGAAACTTTTCTAAAAAATGTTTAAAACGTTCATTTAAAAATATATATTTTGTATACAAACGGTCAAGTGCATCTGCATAGCCGAAATTCTAATACAATTGGCGAAAACGAAAGAAACCTTGTGACAGGCAATGCATATATTGTCAATTATCAATATAGAAGCTGCAGATAGGGAATAATTACAAAAATAAGAAAGCAGAGGTGGGACCCAGTCATTGTTTTACAAGTCACAATTAAGTCTCAAGTCTTTGCACTCAAGTCCCAAGTCCTAAACTCCGAGTTTCGAGTCCTAAACAAGACATAATTTCCTCTTCACCAAAATTTGATGCCATTGGGCAACTATTCTTAAGTGGATAGCAGGGCCGTCCTTCAATCAGAGGATCGGCGGTTCGATCCCCGGCTCCGCTAGTCGCATGTCGATCTGTCCTTGAGCAAGACACTTAACCCCAAAATTGCTCCCGTAGCTGTGCGTACAGTTTATGTGATAGACTCTGAATTGTAAGTGGCTTTGGATGAAAGTGTCTGCTAAATGACTGCAATGTAATTTGCGTCTCCGTCTGTAATTTTCGACCTCCAAAAACCATGTTTTGCATATTGCAATTAGTTTTTTGTTGACCGCAGTATCGTTTTTTTACGCAAATCAAATTATTTTCCATCTGGCGCTCAGTAACGTGACGTCAGCGGTTCCCTCCTGCAGCCTGATAGGATGCTGTCGGATTGGTTCAGACAAAGTGGACTTGGGAAATGATGTGTTGCTGGGAATGAACATTAGTAGATTCAGAAAATGAAGAGAAATGTCCACACCTCAGGAAGAAAGCATTTAAGTTGAACAGATGTGGATCAGTCCAGTAGTTATTCTACCTCCAAAAGATTAAAAAAAAAGATTTTTCTTCTTCTTCTCTTAGGTGCTCTTCAATGTCTTTGATGCATTTGTGTCACTGGGAGGATCTGGAATTAATGCTGTGGAGATCATTAAAGGAATCAGTAAGGAGAGACATTCATTATTACCAGTGAGGAATGTAACATGTGCTTGTGGTGCAGGTAGTCCTGCCTGGCTAACTAGACTCTACATATGGACATGTTTACAAAGGGCTATGTTGAATACAAGTGTTGGATATGCTGGATAACATGTTTACACACATGACCTCTCTCTTTCTCCAGTTTCCTTCTTTGTGGTGGCGTTTGGTGGTTCCCTCGTGGGCTTTTTGTTCGGCCTGCTGATCTCTCTCCTGACCAGGTGCACTAAAAACATCCAGATCATTGAGCCAGCGTTCGTCTTTGTCTTGGGATACCTCGCCTACCTGACTGCTGAGATGCTCTCCCTGTCTGCCATCCTATCGTGAGTAATCCATGAAAAACCTCTCATCTGTTTGAGTGTTTTATACGTCTTATAGAAGAAGAATTAAAAGCCATAAACATGTTCCGCGGGATATGATTTACTTCTGTGGCTTTTGTTCTGTAGGATCGTCTTCTGTGGCATGTGCTGCCAGAAGTACATCAACGCCAACATGGACGAGAAGTCCGTGTCCACAGTCAGATATGTCATGAAGGTTCTCGCCAACGGATCAGAAACCATCATCTTCGTGTTCCTGGGGATCTCGGCCATTGACAAGTCGATCTGGGTGTGGAACACGGGCTTCATCCTCCTCACGCTCCTCTTCATCTTTGTGTACAGAATTATCGGTGAGATTCCCGTCTTTCGCTGTCAGTTTTGAGCGCAAACGGTACACAGTCTGATGTCAGGGGGTCACGAAACCGGCTTGGTTTGTGTACTGCAGGTGTCTTTTTCCTCACCTGGATCTTGAACAAGTACAGGCTGGTCCCCGTGGAGTTTATAGATCAGGTGATTATGAGCTACGGTGGCCTGCGAGGGGCTGTCGCGTATGGCCTGGCTGCGATGCTGGATGGGAGCAAGATAAAGGAGAAGAATCTGATGATCTGCACTACTCTCATCGTAGTGTACTTCACCGTCATTCTTCAGGTAACCACGTTTCTGTCCTGTGTTCCTGAGTTGAAACAGTATATTGGTACATTTTGTTTTCGTAGCTTTCTTACACAAAACGCATTCTAGCTTTTATTGTGAATCTCTTTCTGCCGCAGGGAATAACGATGAAACCTCTGGTCAACTGGCTTAAAGTCAAAAGAGCTGCAGCGACGGAGGTCACACTCGTAGAAAAACTGCAGAACAAAGTAAAGCTTGAAATAATCACTTTTTTACAAACACAACAGCAAGAACCATAACCAGGCAACTATTACAGATGCTCCATTCTCGTTGTTTAGGTGTTTGATCACATGCTTGTTGCCATAGAAGATGTATCGGGACAAATAGGACATAACTACATGAGGGACAAGTATGTAGAGACGTCTCAGAACCGTTTAACTAATACAGTGTAAACTGTTTTGAATGAAGCTCTAATTGTCTCTTCGCTCACTGTGAAGGTGGAATCACTTCGAGGGGAGGTGGATGTCGAGGATTCTGATGAAGCCGTCGGCGAGGAAAGCCCGCGACTACGTCTTCAACGTCTTCCATCAGCTGAACATCAAGGATGCTATGAGCTACGTGGCTGAGGTGAGGGCCGAGTGCTGCGTACGCTTCGAGTACATACGAGTGTGTTTTGTTCAAGTGGACATTGAGGGAAGCGGAGGGTCGGTAAAGGAAGTCCTCTGGTCTCGATGTTACAGGGCGAACGCAGAGGTTCTCTGGAGTTTGTCCGCAATGAAACCGCGTTCATCGACTTCAAGAAGAAGTTCGACGACGACTTCTATGATGTCATCATGGCCGACACGTCGAACGATCACAGTGCAATGTCCTCGATGAGGTGAGCAAACATTTTGATTCAACTGATTCACACCGCGATCACAGGAGAAGGTAGTTTGAAAATACAAGAGCAAACAATTAACTAAAAAAACTCCCCAACTCCTTTCATTATTTTTATTTCAGATATGAATTTATATTCAGTTTATTTGTATAGCCCAAAATCACAAATTTGCCTCAGCGGGCTTGACAATCTGTACAGCACACGACATCCTCTGTTCCAGGACTCTCGCATCGGAGGAGCAGGAAAATCGAAAAATTAACTATAACAAGGGTCGATCTACTGTTTTGATTGAACACCTACTTACATTAGATCTGTTCAGACACTGCTCCCTGGTGACCACAAGCAGTCACTTCATGTTTTTCCCTCACACTTGGAAACAAACCAAAATAGTAGGAATGATCATTTAGCTCCAATGTTCCACCACATGTTGATTGAGAAGCCTCTACCAGAGCTGTGCTATTAGTGTGATGAAGACATAAAGTAGCTGACATGCTTTCCCCCCCCACAGTGGAAGAGACCCTGTGCCATCAGTGAGCCTGGAAATGCACGAGCAGACCATGAAGGGTGTGAGGGAAACAGAGGACATTAACACTCACCACCTGCTGCAGCAGCATCTCTACAAGGGCAGGAAACAGGTCATCATTTTCAAACACATCACTATACACACTGTATTCATAGCATTGCTTTGCACTTTAAAAAAAAAGTGATCAAAATGAATGCAGCAGAGATCAATTGTTAGAGATTTTTAGTCCTGACTATGTCTCAATGCCGTATACTACATTTCCCATAATACAACAAAATAGCATGATTCATTAGATGCCACCTGCCTCATAATTGCCCAATTCTTTCAAACCATCCACCCTCAGTTTGTAATGAGAAATAACCCATTAGCAGTGTTATTTTTTTTTACTTTAGAAGAAGCTACGATCGCGCCCAAATGCAAAATCATAACCGACCCTACATGAACCAATCCTGAGCCTGAACCATGGCAGCAGATTTAGCCTGAGCCCGTTTAATAAAACTAATTTCAAATGTAAAAAATAAACATCTCCGACATGGGCATTCTCCTACTGAATGTCAAACACTGACACTGTCATGCCAGTGCCATAATGGAGATTGTATAACAAGGAGGAAAAAAAAAACACCGGGAACTTGGCTCAAGCCCGTGGGTCATACTGACTCTTTCAATTTCTGTTTCTTGTTTTCTGGCGTCCAGCACCGGCACAGATACAGCCGGAGCCATTTCAACGTCAACAAGGATGAAAACGAGGTGCAGGAGATCTTCCAGAGGACCATGAGGACTCGTTTGGAGTCCTTTAAGTCTGCAAAGATGGGCGTTGCTCCACCAAAGACGATTACCAAGCACACAAAGAAAGACCAGCAGCAAAAGGTAATTTTTGTTAGACAGTCTACAGTCTAACATACATGGAATTATTTTTAATAGTCAAAAAGGCTGGGTACTAAACCTCAATGCAAACAAAATGTGTTTATAGCACGAAGTATCAAATCTGTCAACGAAAGCGGTCATCAAATATTTGGCCAGATGTATAATCTAATAATAATAAGATAATATTTTCTGATCAGATAGTACCCGATTTAAATTTCACAACCGTATCGTACTTTATTCAGGCAATTCTTGTACGATCTTTGATTTCTTTTGTCAAATCAAAAATAGATGGATATATTTATCAAAGTATGGTATGAAAGAAAGTATAACTCTGATATTGTATCAAAAATCGGCACTAGAACCAAAAATTGCAAATAATACCCAGCCCTAACAGTCTAAACGTGTGTTTTACATCTTTGCTTTTCACATTTTGTAACTTTGTTAACAATGTAATCTACAAATAAACTTCTACCACCTGCAGGTGCCAAATGGGAAATCAACGGACAAAAGTAAAAGCTACTATTCTGGTGATGAAGGTTGGTACCATGTTTCAGTTTAAAAATAGATACATTAGCCCTGATTTGTCCAAGTGCTTTTTTTAAAAACTATCTCTTATTTTGTTTTTTAGATTTTGAGTTCTCAGAGGGAGACAATGCGTCTGGCTTAGAGGCATCAGGCGGTTCATACCCCTTCCCCATGATGGTCACCTACAGAGCAGGAGGTAAAATGAATCCACCATCTTGTCCACTTATCTTCAACCAGTGGTTCCTTAATTTAATGTCCCAATACAGCATTCTAGAAATAATCCGTGATATGTAAAAGTCATAATCACACTTAAATAAAGATACAAAAGTATTATCAGCAACATGTTCTCTTACATTATTCGATTGTTGACACTGTCTTGGAGCTAGATTTAAATACTTTATAACACAGTTAGGTATTTTAGTATAGTGGTTCCAAACCTAGGGGTCCGGCCCCTCGGCATGGTCTGGTTCGATGTTATCGTGAAACATTGACTATTTTTTTGCCTCTTTGGGCCTAAAGAAGTTATTAAAATAAAACCATTTGAGAAGTTTAGAGGGGAAATCACTCTTAGGTAGAACTTCTAAAACTCAAAGGCGTCTGAAATGTGTCAATTTAAAAACTCAAGTACTACTTAAGCACAGTACTTGAATAAATGCTATTTGCCACCGATGTCTCTAACCCTCAAACTCTCTCAGCACTAACTCCGTTTCTTTTTCTTTCGCCCAGCTGGCATTGAGAATCCGGGCTTCATGCCGGACCTGGACCCCATGGCACCGGTGCAGATCCCCCCGTGGCTGGCGGAGGCCGAGCTCGACGGCGGCGCGGTGGCCCCTTCGCAGCGGGCCCAGCTGAGGCTGCCGTGGACACCCAGCGACCTGCGCCACCTGGCCCCCCTGCGCATCGGCACTCAATCCACCGACTCCTTTACGCAGGCCGACGCCCCCGCCGCACAGCAGATGGACGTCGGGCCGCCGCTGACTCCACCTCCGCCGCCTCCCTCTCACCCAGACAGTTGCCGCATGTAGCAGCATCCCCCACCCCTCCCCCGTCTCCCTTTAACCCCGGCCGCCTAAGGCGCAGAACCTGACCTCAGACTTTGCAGTCTACTCTCAAAATATTGACTAGGGAGAATGTTTTATTTTCCGTGCCGTTGCTTAATCTGACTCCCGAGTCTCTAGACCAAACATTCACAGTCCCACAACCTTTGTGCCCTTCTCCTCAGCTCCTCTTGCTCTAACTTCACCCTTCACTGAGCAAAGGGAGGCTGCTCGTAAAAACCTGTGTGCAGGCTGGGCATGTTATTTACCAGCACGCGTTGAACATTGTTATATTTGCCCCTCGGGTTCACAGTAAAACGGTCAAACATTGCAAGTCCGTCCCGGTGGAGTATCTCATCCCTGAATGTGATGCAGAAACCTTTTTTTCAAGAATGTAGATATTTATGAGTTGTGTTGTTTAGAAAGATAATAGATTTAATCGAGAGTGCCATGAAAATAATTCCAGCTCCATAATCTGAATTGTTACATTGTTTGTGTGTGTGTTCTCGAAGTTCAATATTAAAATGTCACATGTACGATAGAGACATATTATATTTATTCACAAATGAAGGCTGGTATCGTGTGGACATGTCATCTCAAATGAGGGCATATATTTTATGATCCTCCAAAAAATAACATTCCGCTGACTGCTGTTAAACTGTGTGCATTTAAATATGGATTTAGAAATAAAAAGAGTCTTTGTGGAGTGAAATGATTATTTCATTAAGTAGTAGACTGTAATAAAATAAACCACAGCTACTTTGATGTGTCAAACATGGCTGCTTTTCTTTTTTTTTATTATATATTATTCCTGCAGATGAAAATTTGTCTTTGGGCTGAATGCGGCACACTTACATCAAACTGATGTTAAGTAATGTGTGAGGTGTAGCCAACACATTAAAGTAAGGTCATTAGGAATTTGTGTTGGCCAGTTTTCACTATATTCTGACTATTTTCACAAACTAACCTTTGAAATCAATTAAAAATAACCATCAGATTAATCATTTATATAATAATTCTTGGTTGCAGCCATAATATAGATATATCAACAATCAAGCTGTAATGAATTACTTTTTAATATCAAACTTTGTTCCACAATGTTACACTTCTGGAATGTATCCACATTTGACTTCCATCACAATGAATTAATAGAACAACAACATTGAAGTCATTAGATATAATATTCATCATAAATAGTCCATTTCTGATGTTTCCACCTGCTTGGTGATGTAGTCTAATATCGTCTTTTCATTTTCAGACTCCTTCAGATAAAAGTGAGATCCATCGAGCATCCTGACGGTGAAATCTCCGGATGTGATGCTTTTCCAAGCTGTTGGGAAAAATACAAATGAACATAGAATGCACAACATAAGAAAAATAAAACCCACTGAATAATAATTATAATATAAAATCAGTAGCCATATTTGCAGCGTGCACATCTGCATGAATAAACACTGCAAATGTTCCATAATTTCTGATGTGGAGCATCCAGAAACCTTAATAATCCCTGTAATGAATAAGTCAGAGCAGGTGTGTGATTGCTGCAGGACACGAGGGGACAGACCTTGTAAGTCGTGAGGAACGTCCTCCTTTCCATCAAAACACGTGATGGGGCAGGAGAGGAGCGGGATGTCCGGCTTCTGGCACCTGCAGCAAAGTCAGGAGGTCCACTCACTACAAAGCACTCGTCCCAAATCACAGATCATTTTAAAATGAATGGTTCAATTTGAGCCTGTAACTACCTGTAGTTCTCCACGACGTGCAGGTCGGCCTTCAGGGCGGGAAGGAAGAGCTTCAGGACCTCGGGGTTCGCCAGCAGCTCGGGAGGAGTTCCTCCGATCGAAATCAACCACTTGAGGAAGTCGTCATCGGACACCTCGCTTCTCTTTGGGGCGTTGATGCGCGTCTCTGACTGAAAGACAAAAGGCAACATGCTAGTGGTTTGTCGTCAACACCAAACTCTTGTCTTCAGTTAGTATACACACTATAGGTGTATAAAGTTGTGTAATTATAGAAGGAACCAGATGTTTCGGTCCGTAGATCTCCATCGAGTAAGAATCTAATTCAATTCCTTCTGAATAAATAGAAATCCTGCACACAGGTGTTCACTTGTCCTTCTCAGTTTACAGGTTTTTTTTGTCATTGATGTCATTTTCTTCCATAAATTATCAAAGATATTGTATCGTAAGGAAGACATTTTTTTAAATGAACTGCATTTGCTTCCTCACAATGCAGCTTTGGATCATTTGGTCTCTCCAAAGCAAATTTGAAAACAAAAGTTTTGGAAATGAAAATATTATGGTTAAGATTTGATATTGCATGGGTTAATAACAAGCCTTTGTTGACATGGTGACACTGTCTGCAATAAGTTACAATCAAGCTATCAGGGTTCCAAATATAAACTGAAATCTGGACATTGGTACACTTAATCAACAGAGAATTACAGAGACTCCAAGCCTCCTTGGATACTCATGCTGATTGATGCTTAGTGGATAATCCCCAATAGAGTTAAATGTAATAAATACACTCACATAAGGTGCAGAGGCACTGGACACGAAGATGTGAACGGGTTCCAGGTTGTGCAGTCTCTTCAGAGCATCTGCCACGGCGAAACCGGTGAAGGCCCCGAAACTAGAAACAGATCAGGGACGAGTAAACAGTAATAGAAACAGAAGTTGTGAGAGGTGGGCAGGGCCAGATGTCATGACGGATACAATGTCACTGATAAAGCCCCTTTTTCTTATCATACCTGTGTCCAAACAGAGCAAACGGCTTCTCTTTGAGCACCGGTAACAACACACCAATAACCTCGTCCACAATCTGCTGCATGTCCTGAAAGAAGGGCTCTTTGGCTCGACTCTCTCTGCCCGGAAGCTTGACAGCAAACACTGACAGTGACAACAACAAAAGGATGTTATAACATTTCAAATAGGAATACAATCATATTGTAACAGGTTTGTTTTGTGTGTTTACTTATTTCTTTTTTTGGGGGAAGTTGCCACAATTTTCCTTTTTTGCTGATTTTTTTTAAGACTACATTAGTGTTATTTACAAACATCTGACAAATTGAGAGCATAGAGCCAAACAGTATAGCTAAACAGGGCAAAGTGCAGCCCTTAAACATGGCACGTTACCTTCTATGGAGCTGTTGAGGACGTTCCCCCAGCGCGCATAGTGTATGGAGCCTCCACCTGCCCAGGGGAAGCATATCAGCCTGGCCACAGCATCTGGGCTCTTCTTGAAACAGCTGATCACCTTTTCCATTCTAATTCAACACAAGTCAGAGGTCTGATTCACAGCTGCTGGGACTGCAGTTTATGCTCCTGCATCCAGGGGTAATTATAAGAGTGTTAAGTCATACCTGTTTGCTGCTGGCAGCTCCATCAAATTCTCCCAGGAAAACAGTGGTAATTCCTCATGAAGTGTAACATTTCCTGGTTATTTTTCTTCTATGGTTTTTCTATAAAGCTGTTAAAAAGGCATAGATATGGATTATGGAGACATCTACAGTATGGAGTGTGTATGTCCAGAAAGAAACAGTAGGTTTAACCTGTGTTATATTTTGTAACTTTTGTATCTTTTGGTACATGGATGAATAGGACAGAATATAAACCCACAAAACCTGAAATACAAGCTGTTATTTCAAAACATAACATGGTTTAGAAAAAAAAAATCCCGGAAGTGACGTTGTTTTCTACATTTGGTATTTCCTGACGGATTTCCCTCGGTGGTGGTGGTGGAGGAGGAGGAGGAGGAGGGCGCAACAGCTTCGTCAAGTTAGACGACGTTAAATAAGGCGAAAATCCCACAATCGTCCCTGTCAGATGTTCCTCTTACAGTGAGAGGGATATTATTGAAATCATGTAAATGCAGAAATTTAAATCATTAGATTAAGTAAAAGTACAAATACTAATGTGTAAAAATACTTAGTTTCAAGTAAAACTCCTGCTTTCATATTCAAGTAAAGACCGTAAGAAGCAGGCAATCATCAGAAACATGTTCTTAAAGTATCAAAAGTCAGTACTAGTAGTGTAGAATGGACCTTTGAGAAAATTGTATATCATTATGTGTATTATGTCATTTTATTGGTATAATGTAATACACAAGCAGTGTGTATTTGGTGTACCAATTAGTAGTTTGATCTGGTTCCCAATATGAGAGGTCGAATTGGAAAGTAGAAACAAATATACATTTCTGCTGCACAAAATTGTGTTTATTTGTCTGATATTTTTGCTTTAATTATGGCCTCTAAAAACATTCATAAAAGACGGAAAAATCTGTTTGTGGTTTAGTTGACAAACACTCAGTGAGGTCTTCGACCTGTGAGCAGTCGCAAGGAAACAGCTTCATTTCAATGGTTGGATTATTTAATATTTTACAAAATGAGCGTTTGTTTTGGGAAATCCTAATCTGAAAAGCAGACAGTAACTATAGATGTCAAATAAAACAAAAATATATATCCCTCTGACATGCAGATGAGTTTTAATTATACTTTTTTCTTCTCATTAGGTTTTGTTCAACTCACATATTTTTTAATCCACATTTTTTCTGTTGGAGGGAGCCTGAGACCTGTCATTGCCACGGACTGCTTCACTTGTAATCGTTGTGCGCATGACAATAACATTTGTGGCGGAAAAAATGTACTCAAAGGTACAGCTATTGATTATTAGTCTGTATTGAACAATAATAGCTATTAGACAGACGCTAAAACATCTGGTTCACGAACAACTCTCACGTTGTTCGTTATTTATGCTTTTATTTTGAAACACCTTTCCGGAAGTCTTGATTTTATATTCTGGCGAAATTAACATTAGCGAGCGTGAGGGCGGTGTAAGAGCAGATTTTAGACCGGTTACGCCGAGGAGAACGCCGGGGGATAGTGAACCTAACCAGAGCCCTCGTAGCTATTTGATAAAGAACAACACCGGACTGTCACGTTAACCAACCGGGACGACGGATTGTGCCACCGACCGGGTAAATAGTCATATCAATCTTGTGTGTCGAGTTGCTAGTTGCCGTCGGCTAACCGTTAAAGCTAACTATCGCTGTTAGCTTATCCACCGCTAACGACTCTCAGCTCAATTTAACCAACTCCGCGTCTAAACTGTCACAAACATCTCCGACACTGAACATAATGTTGGTTTTTCTTTCAGATACAACAGGAAGAACTTCAAAGGACGGAAGCGGGGACATTTTGTGCAACTTTGGGCTGTCAGCCGTGGTGAGGCAGGTCGGGGAGAATACTCAACGTTAAACTGAGGGGACCCCCGAGCGGCCCGGTTACACATCAGCGACCGAAGCCGGGGGGCCGCGTAGCCGGGGGAGCGGATCTATAGTCACGTTTAACCGGAGAAGTAATTACTGGGGGCCGGGTCATCCGGACAGAGACCTCATGAATGGAAATCGGAACAACAGGTGGGAACCCCCGACTAACCGCCATGCTTAATTTGGTGTCCAGGTGCTGCACTTGAGTTATTTGCAGATAGCGCGGAGTGCGAGACACAAGCTAGACCCCCATGATAAAGTATTTTGGAGCTGCAAGTTGATCTAAGTTGTTAACGCTGTGTTTAAATAAGTTACCAGGCTATCATGGACACGTGTGCAGAAGCGGCTCAGCTTGAAAACTATTCAAATTCCCATCTCCAGCTCTAACGGGAGTAACATACTGGGGGCTGTTTTACCGGTCATTTTTGCGCCTCGGTGTGCGCGTGCAAGCGTGTGTTTATGCCCCAAACCAGTCTAACGGGTTTTTTTCTGATTGGCTACGTCATTCTTTGCCGGCTGTCAAAGGCAGGTGGTGATCCCGTCAGGTGTGCGTGATGCCTGAGAGAGACTGTGTGGGTGTGGGTGTGTGTGTGTGTGTGTGTGTGTGTGTGTGTGTGTGTGTGTGTGTGCGCGCGCGCGCGCGTGTTTTGAAGGGCAGCCTTTCACACTAGCTGCTGCTATAGCAACCCTAGTTATTGCATAATGTTAACTATAATGTTAACCACTGCCTGTGTTAATTACAAATCAATTAAGCATGGCAGTCAATTTATTTAATTGCTATGGGGCACAATTTGTGAGTCACAGCCTGTGTATTATTGATGTTGGGGTCAGTGGTGGACTGGGAGGGAAAAAACAAACTGGTTCACTGAAACCGACCCATTCATTCTCCAACCACTGCACCCATTTTTCACAGAATGAGCAGTAAAGAACAAAGTTACAGTAACATGTATGTTGAAATTTTAAAACATTGTCAGACTGTACAAAATCCTACTATATATTACATTTATAGTGGTGACGGAGAACAGCAGTACACCTTAACAACTGAGAAGCTGGAAGCTCAAAATGTTTGGCCTTTTTGATCTTGTTTCAAAAGCGTTTGTCCAGAATATCCGCACTTCACGAGTGTAAAGGGGTTAAAACAATATTTATTTGAACGGTATATAAGTTTTACACATTGTTAGTCTCCAGTTTTAGAATACAAATACATAATTTATTGATCCAGAGAGGGGAAATTAAATTTCTTTACTGTGTTACTTTTTACACATTACACATGGACCCATTCACTAAGAAAACATATGTGTCCTGTCTGTAATGCAATAAAATACGTTTCTTAACTAGTTAAGTAAAGGGATTTCTGTATGGTTTAGTGCCACTGTAAGCATATTTTAATCATTATCTGTATAATATTCAAGGAATTGAAATTATCTTGGCCAGGATTATCGGGCAAATATAAATAAGATAAATAAAAAGTTCACATCGTCCTATAGCTAGCTTTGGCTCCTCGCTCTAGGACACCTCGGCAGTGCCCAGGAAGCGAACTGGCACCTGTCCAGCTATCGGTCCATATACCATACTTGAACCGGCGACTCTGCGGTTCCCCAACCGAGTCCCCATGGGCCACCACCCCCAATTAGAGTAGCGACGTTTGGACTGTAAGACGGTTCATCAGTGAAGAACTCTCTCGAAGTGTGTGTATTGGTTGAATGTCAGCTCTTGGTGGGCTGCTATTGGTCGTGCGGTGCATTTTTATCATGAAGCAGCCTGATAAGAGGTCATCTATCGCTACATTGTTGCTCATTCTACAGTGAACTTTTGTGTTTTGGGGTCATTACTGGTGCATCAGAATGTTTTCCATAATTCCTCATAGAAATTGAAGGCTTAGTTCCTTTTGTTGTCACTTTTTGACTTGCCTTTCTCTAGGATCTTCATCAGGTCGGAAATGGTCAAAACAGACTGATTACATCCGGTAAATAGAAGAAACACTGGATATTATTCAATATTGCATCACATAATAACGTAACCAAGAAAACGACTATCACAATGCCATCAAAATAATCAACTACTGACCATACAAATAGAGTAAAACATAGTTTCAAAAGACATATTTCAAACAGTTTTTGTCACTGGAGCTCCAAGATGAATGAGACAAATCTGTGCGCGCCTGTTGTTCCCTCTTCCTGCCCAGCATGCTTTTAGTTGCCGGGGAGAAACTGTAGCAACATAGGCGCCGTGGCAACGGCATAGGGGAGGAGGGGGCCTGGGGACGCGTCAGCAGGAAGAGCAGTGTTTTATGAATGATGCCTGGTTACAACAGGTCCAGGGTCAGCCCTCCACCCTGACAGCAGCTGAAACAGTCTTATATTTTCAACCCACAGCTGCTCTGTCACACTCATTTCACTGCCACTTTCATTCTTGATGCTCGTTTTTGGCCGTACACTTTTTTTACATTCTTTCATTACAAACAAAGCCCACCTCTTGGTATCGTAACAGATTGAGGTCTGTGTGCAGACGTTATTGTGTGTGGATCCTCTGACTCACATTTATGGAAATTGTGCGGTCGTGTGATTTGCACCGAGTACTTTCCAGTTTGGCATTTCTGAAAATTGGTGTCAGATCGGCGTGGTGTGTCACCCGCCCACTTCTCCTTCCGTCTGGCAAAGGCCACGTCAGTCAGGAGACGTCTGTGACCGTGGAGCTGGTCTTTATTTAATATGTCACCACCTATCTCCGTAGCCTTTGTCTATATGGTCCATACAGCGTCAGCCCCTTTTCTTTCCGTTTTGTCAGTTCGACATGAGGAAATATTTAACGTCTTCTTTTGTGCCAGCTCCTTCCACCTTATTAACCACTTCCTTCCTCTCACAGCTCCTTTGAAAGGGTACAGTACATTCTTGTTAACTGGTCTGGGTTCTGTTGGAGCTGCTTTGAGACGTTTGAATGTTGGGACACAGATGGTCCGGAATTGACATAAATGCCGATCGTAGATAAAGTTGACATGAATATTGTGTCAGTGAACGGTTTCCTAACTACGTCCAACAGATGTGGAGCCACGTTAGCGCTCATCTTTAGTCCGAACACTATACGTTTGAATTATTAAGACCGTTACTGTAATATGACAGCATATTCAAATCATCATTACAGCAATGACATCATTTGCGTGTGATGTAAACATTGGTTTACTTGTACTGATTGATTTTTGGTCTTTGTTGTCATAGGAGACGTTGGAGCAGCCGCTGAACCCCCAGTCCTTTTCACGTTGCCAAGGCGACCTGGCTATGGCACCCTTGGGAAGCCCATCAAGCTTTTGGCCAACTGCTTCCAGGTGGAAATACCCAAGATCGACGTCTATCTGTACGAGGTGGACATCAAGCCTGATAAATGTCCTCGCCGGGTCAATAGGTAACGGGGCAGAGCTGTAGACCATTTGCAATGTGAATCGATGAGACCGAATACTTCTTTAGTCCTGGATTCATGCTGCATGTTGATTGTGGTGATGTGTTTTGTTTTATTTTTTTAATCCCTGGTGGTCTTTTCAGGGAGGTGGTGGACTCCATGGTTCAGCATTTCAAGGTGACCATCTTTGGCGACTGTCTGCCAGTTTACGATGGGAAGAGAAGCCTCTACACCGCTAGACCCATTCCTGTCGCCACCGGTGGGGTAAGACACAACATCAAAGTTTGTGTTGTCTGGGCCAACATTAAAAGTAGAGTTCAGCTTCTTCTTCTCAATGGGACATCCTGAAAATGGGCTCATTGGCGTGAGGCTTTTTATTGTTGATCTCAAAATCCTTGTTTTCCTCTTCAGGTCGATCTGGATGTGACCCTGCCAGGTGACGGTGGGAAGGACCGCCCGTTTAAAGTCACCATCAGGTTTGTGTCGTTAGTCAGCTGGCACATGCTGCACGAGGTGTTGACGGGACGCGCCGTGGCCGAGCCGGTGGACCTGGAGAAACCCATCAGCACCAACCCCGTTCACGCCGTGGACGTCGTCCTTCGACACCTGCCCTCCATGAAGTGAGTTTTCTCCCCATGACCATCTACAAAGATTTGTTTGTAGCTTCCTTTTCATAGGAATATTTCCAAAGAATAGTAAAGAGATTCAGACCTCATACTAAAATACCTCAAATCATATCTTATTGTAGCTAAATATTTGAGATGGGAATAAACTAATTACTACGGTTAAACCTTCAAATTGATGGCCAAATGCTGTAGTTTACCTTTACAATATTTCAGTTTTCAATATAGAATAGAAATATACTTAATTCAACCCCCAGGGGAAATTTGTCTGTGGCAGCAGCAAACAGGGTTACACAATAAAATAAAAATATTAAGTATGGAAAATGCACAATATAATAAAATAACAGAGCAGGACCTATTAAATTTATGAAGATGAGAACGAAGATAAAAGTTTGATCTAAATGGCAGTAAAGATTTCTTCTGGTCGTGAAATATGAGTTACTGTAGCGCTCCCTAAATGTATTATGGCGTTGTCACATATTGTAACAATACTCAAGGTGGGTATATTTTTCCTATATTAGGTGGCCCAAGTGGGATTTTAAATACAACACAGACAAAATGATTAAAAGTAAAAAAAAAAGTCACCTTTCATGTATTCTACCTCAATTTGCCATTTGCTAAATCCATTAACCAAAATAGTTTTTAGTTAACATGAACGAACTTGTAAGTTGGGCAGCGATTGTGTTCTGCTGCACTCAGTGAACCACACGGGGAACACAACTCAAATCCCAGGTAGAGTTTCTTTGTGTCTCCGTTGTGACCCTGTCTGTCCTCATCAGGTACACGCCTGTTGGACGATCCTTCTTCTCCTCCCCAGAGGGCTACGACCACCCGCTAGGTGGAGGAAGAGAGGTTTGGTTTGGATTCCATCAGTCAGTGCGGCCAGCTATGTGGAAAATGATGCTCAACATCGATGGTGAGTATGCCCTGTCTGTAAAGTACATGTGAAGCTGCAGCTGGTAGGCTTAGCTTAGCTTAGCTTAGCGCAAAAACTGTAAACGGGGGGGAAACAGCTAGCCAGGTTCTGTCCAAAGGAAACAAAATACACATACGAGCACCTCTTAAGTTCAGTAATTAACACAATATAGCTTGTTCTTTTAATCCGTACAATAGTGATTTGACAGTTTGGTCTCCTCCCGTATCTTTTCAGTGTCAGCCACAGCGTTTTATAAAGCCCAGCCAGTCATCCAGTTCATGTGTGAGGTCCTGGACATTCACAACATTGACGAGCAGCCCCGCCCTCTCACTGACTCCCACAGGGTCAAGTTCACCAAAGAGATCAAAGGTATGTCGCCAAGGAAAGGCAGCTTTTGTTGCCTTACCCCGTCTGGCTGTTTGTGTTGTTGTTTGGGAAGCTACTGTTTTCATGTACTTACAAACAGAAAGATATGTGAATGCGATATCTCAGGAACACCTGGAGGGGATTCCTTCCATCATGTTGCATAAACTGTAACAGTACGTATGCAATCATCCCTCACCCACGATCGATTGATTGGTTTCAGAGACTAGTACTATAATTAAAAGGTATTTATTGGCTCTACCTTCCAGGGGCCGTGTTCACAAACATTCTGATACTCTCTGAGATCTCCTAGCGTAGCCGGAAAGTCCTAGCTTGGGAATGATTTAGGAAACGTCACAGAAACCTTTAGCTTAGTGAGGAGGTGTGGTTGACCCCATGGTTAGGAATGAAAGAACGATGCACTTTTAGTGGTGATGGGCATAGAACGGACGGTGAAATCGATGGGCCTAATAGTGGAATTCAATCTCTATTCATGGTGTAATTGTGAATATTATTTTATGTAATGAGCATCTCTGTTGAATACAATTTGAGCCATATACCTACTTTAAAAGTAGCTGACAAAAGGCCCAAAACAGGCCTACTTGCACAGTAGCCTATTCACACACCGATAGTTGTTAAATATATTTACCATGCTGCCAATTATAGAACTTAATATATTTGGTATTGACGAGGGGATATGACTGAGCTTTCATTAGTTTCTGTGCTTGCTAGCCTAGTCTATATAAGCAGCATGTAAATCTTTAAACCAGCGAACACTGTTGCGTCTTTCCAGTCCCCAAATATCTTAGTGTTGCGATTACTTTCATTTCTGGCGTGGTTTGCGTTGGGTTGGAGATGTGAGCGCATCTCTTACGAGATCGTCCACAAATACAATCACTGCACGGTTTAATCTGTGGCGTTTCATTAACCCACTGTCATTCAGCGTTTGGAGAATATTTCTCCTCCTCCTCTCTCTCCACCATTTTCTCATCTGCTTAAGAAACCCTCAAAAGTCCTCCTCCCACAGCTTTTCTCCTTAGCAGCTCTCTGAAGGGCTAAGATGCTTTGTGACTAACTTTTATCTTCACCAGGATCTGGTCTTTACTGTGAGGGGAACCTCTGAGAAAATCATCATCATCATTCTCTTAATTTCTCAGAATTTAGTCACTAAGAGCAGCTCGTTGTACTTGGAATCTTTATGAATACAGCCCCAGGAGTTGAGTAGATTCTTTGTATCTTATGACAGATTATTTGTTATATAAAAGAGGTACAGACGAGAGCTGAATCTTGGTGAAGCAGGCTTTTATGCCTGGTCATTTGTTCCACTGTTTCGTTGGCAACATTTAAGTGACGATGCTTATTCCTCCTTCTTCACAGGTCTTAAAGTGGAAGTGACACACTGTGGAACCATGCGTAGGAAGTACCGAGTCTGCAATGTAACACGGCGCCCTGCCAGCCTCCAGACGTACGTTTTCTACATCGCACCCCGGTAGCTGTGAGCTTCAAATCCAAGCTGTCATTGGCTCTCATTAACGGGGGATTCCTTGTTGCCTTCAAATCCACAGATTTCCGTTGCAGCTTGAGAGCGGTCAGACAGTTGAGCGTACAGTGGCGCAGTACTTCAGAGAGAAGTACAGCCTGCAGCTAAAGTACCCCCACCTGCCTTGTCTGCAGGTGGGCCAGGAACAGAAACACACCTATCTGCCCCTGGAGGTAAGGACTGATGGGGACTGTGTGATTCCACTGCTAAATGCTGGTAAAACCTTTTGAGAACATTGTTGCTGTCAAATTTATTCAAATTCTATTTCAGAGAGTCAAAGCTCATTTTCACTTTTACTCATAAACCAGTGAAATATAAAATTCTATCAGTACCATGAATTAAATATCCCGTTTTATACCCAACACACTGTTAGATAATATCGTGCCTCGGCATGACTGAAGGTCAGCCTGGTTCCAGCCTTTCAACCGCAGCCAACTCCAATTGGTCCAGATAATTCATGAACAACAGTGACAGAAAAATGGCAGCAAGTGTGTTTCAGATGCAAGTGAAGTACCCCAGCTTCTGTCAGTTGTAATTAGATGCAGAGGGATCCAAACCTTTTCCATTGGTCACACTGGTGCACCTCATTTAGGTGCACCGGCACATAATATGCACTTAATATTTTTCAGTGTGCCTTTTACTCAAAAAGTGTTGAAGAAATCAACGTGTAAAACGCTGCGTGCAAGATGCTCACTGGACTAGCCTGTGAAACTGGCCAAGGCCGGGTTTAAGTGCAATCCACATGTATTAAATTGGAATGAGAGCAGCGTAAAGTGTGCGTAACGAGTAGGTTTGGGTGGTATTACGGTATACCAGGGTATTTAGAAACCGACGGAATAATTTTCAGTACATACTCTGCTTTCTATGATGCTGTATTGATGTGGAGTACTGTAGTGCACAGCACGAGCAGCAGGAGCCAGTCTCTATTTTGGGAACGAGGGAAAGAGGTGGGGATTACAGGACGTGTTTGGGGGGGTATTTTGGCTTTAGTCTTCTTCCAACTACATGATTTTATTCAACTGCCGCCACCACCCGCATGTCATCTCTGTTCAGCACATCGATCTGACGCTGTGTGTGATGTTACTCGGTGTGCGGTCAAGAGACAGAAAGAGGGAGAGGGAGATTAGCGCAATGGTGAATATGAAATAAGTAGTAACGTTATAGCTGTGAAAGTAGCAATGCAGTGTCTGCACCTCAAGACCCAAGCCAAGCTCCCCTGTCTTGCTTGCCACCTACTGAAAATTAACTTATGCCCAGGCTCACTTAAGGTGGGCTGATCTTTTAAGGTGGACCGGCAATGCTTATAGTGACAAATAATGTCAGGTCTGGGTTTGGCCTCTCAGTGCCTTGCACAGGTGTAACGGGTACCGCAGCATTTTTCTTGACTTAAAAAAAACAGTAGTTGTCTTCATTACCAGTAAGGCTGTAATGATATACACACGCGCGCGCACACACACACACACACACACACACACACACACACACACCAGGCGACCAATGAAAACATTTCATTGCACTCTTCAGATCATTGTGTGACCACAATGAACGAATGAAGTGAAACAAAATGGTAATTCAGGCTGTATTCAGATATGAATTAGCCTGATCTGATGTTTTTTTCCATTTTAGGTGTGCAACATTGTACCTGGACAGCGCTGTATTAAAAAACTAACTGACAACCAGACATCGACCATGATCAAAGCAACAGCCCGCTCTGCCCCAGACAGACAGGAGGAGATCAGCAGGCTGGTGAGTGGACGAGAGACAAAAGGACACACATCGTGCTTATCTTTTTCTGTTATAATGATATATCATAATAATTTTCTCTCTCCTCAGGTGAGGAGTGCAAATTACGAGGCCGACCCCTTCGTCCAGGAGTTTCAGTTCCGTGTGCGAGATGAGATGGCTCAGGTGACGGGCCGCGTCCTGCCGGCCCCCATGCTGCAATATGGCGGCAGGGTGAGCTCTGAACCCTTTATGGTACCTTCCCTTTAAATTGTGTGTGTGTGTGTGTGTGTGTGTGTGTGTGTGTGTGTGTGTGTGTGTGTGTGTGTTCGAGACTGCAAGGTTTCCCCCAGTTTGAATTTGTATTTACAATCCTGACATCTTGATGCTTCGTGGCTCTGAATTTCAGTGCCAGAACCAAAAATGTAAAACGAGCTACACTCGGGCTATTCTGTGGGGAAACCCTGTGATAACATCTATAGATTTATTTTTCTCACATTTGATGTGCTCACACAGTACACTACAATTATCTCTGATTGCATCGCACACGTCTGTTCTACTCTTTCTGTCTGTGATCGTTTGGACTTTGCTGTCTTTTTACACTGTTTTACACATGCATGCTTTTGTAAAGAGATCACATGTAGAAGCTGTTTCAATTTGAAAGAAGTCTGTTTTGCATGTCTGCCATAAAATGAATGCATGAGCCAATGAGAAGCAAGCACAGACTAAACCTACAAATGAATGTGGCTCTAATGCCACGATCGGCCAATCACCCAATGTCAGCCCATTAATTACACAGTAGCCCTTGATCTTGAGATCCCACTGGCTGCCGACTCCTTTTGAATCTCTGAATCCATACGTTGTCTGTGTCCTTTTGTACCGTTTGTGTCCGTGTTACTGCCAGTCCCAGCAGATCAACCCTGCACTGTTGTTGCAGAACCGCACGGTGGCCACACCGAGCCACGGCGTGTGGGACATGAGGGGGAAGCAGTTTCACACCGGAGTGGAGATCAAGATGTGGGCCATCGCCTGCTTCGCCACCCAGAGGCAGTGCCGAGAAGAGATCCTGAAGTGAGTTCACAAAAATCTCTGTTGTTGCTCAGTTCAGTGTAGTATCGACGGATTGAATGTAAGATGATACATATATTTGCATCTGAAATAAAAATAAAGTCTCTGGAAGCTATAGTGAAAATTTCACATTTAAAGAAACCAGTCAAATGTATTTAGATAAATAGAAAGCAAGGTCTTTTTTTTTTTTTTGAGAATTACAAAGTTAAACTTTTAAACAGTATTTCAGTTGCAAAAATGTTCTTACGATAAAAAAGCACAGATTAGTTTCTCCTTAAGTGACAAGTGGAAGTTCAGACTTTACATCCATGGGTCGCAATACCCATTGGTAGTGGATATTGGTAGTGATATTAATAAACAAATGTTCATGTATGGTCATTTCTTTTTTTCCTTCATGCTCAGGAGCTTCACTGACCAGCTGCGTAAAATCTCAAAGGATGCTGGGATGCCAATCCAAGGCCAGCCATGTTTCTGTAAATACGCCCAGGGAGCCGACAGCGTGGAGCCCATGTTCAGACACCTGAAGAACACCTACGCTGGGCTGCAGCTCATCATCGTAATCCTGCCGGGGAAAACGCCTGTCTATGGTACGAAGAGTAACTATTTAGAAACCCGCAGCACAACAATAGTAACTGAAGTCGTCAGTGAGATTAGAACGGTTGGATCTAAAGCTCTGACCTCGAGGCTCCTGCTACCCGTTAATAGGACATAAAAAGTAGCCTCACTTCAGTCATATGAAGTTTGTGAGGCGTTTTAAGTTCAAACAGTTGTTGCAGAGTTAAAGCAACATCCCATTTCTTTGACCCACAGCTGAGGTGAAGCGGGTGGGCGACACCCTCCTTGGCATGGCCACCCAGTGTGTGCAGGTGAAGAACGTAGTGAAGACGTCCCCTCAGACCCTCTCCAACCTGTGCCTCAAGATCAACGTCAAGCTGGGAGGCATCAACAACATCTTGGTTCCACACCAACGGTAAAATGAACACAACAAATTAAGACGAGTGTTCTTCAGTCTTTATATTTTTACAAGATACTTTGCTTAACGTGGTCACATTGACATTTATCTTTTTCTCTTTGCTCACTGCCAGTCTGTTGGCTGTTAAAAGGAGACTGTGTTGCAACATGACTGATTGATTCATTGTGTGCCTCTTTTCATCCATCCAGACCCTCTGTGTTCCAGCAGCCTATCATCTTCCTCGGGGCTGATGTCACTCATCCTCCAGCAGGAGACGGGAAAAAGCCGTCTATTGCAGCGGTGAGACTTCACTTTCGATAACGCACAAATGGCCAACAATCTTGTATTTCCTCTTCACATACGCTGCTCATATCAGCCCATGTCTACTGCCCAAAAGCACAAAACAGTGTTTCCTGTATATTTTATGGCCTAATTAGAGTTTTTATAACAAGGCTCAAGACTATCCAAAAGGACACAGTAAACTCACTATCAATGCGTCCGGGGGACACACCCTATTTTTCCCTGATAATGCTACATGTGAACAACAAATACGTGTTGAAATCAGCAGGAGGAGCGCTAGATAACGTTAGCTGTTAGCAGCCGGTTGGCATCGCAGTTCTTCGAGGCTAACAGCTAACGTTAAAGGAGGTATCATTGAGTTTAATTATGGTGCGTTCAAGCCCTATTCAGTAAAGAAAACAATAATATTAGGCAAGGTATATTATTATTTTCACATTAATTTAAAATAGATATTAGAGAGGAAGTTATTAGCTGTTTAACTTCCTAATACGAGCTCAAAAGTATTTGTTTGGTTTCTGTTCTTTTACCGTGGTTTTGAATCGGGTATCGAGAATCGTGGAATTTCTCTGGCATTACTGACAAAGCACAGAAAAATGATTTCATAACTGCTCGTCAGTTGCAATGCTTTTGCATGTAATTGCGTTTCTGACCCATGTGACTGATGCTGTGCCTCTACAGGTGGTGGGCAGCATGGACGCCCACCCCAGCAGGTACTGCGCTACGGTGCGGGTCCAGAGGCCCAGACAGGAGGTCATCCAGGACCTGGCCTCCATGGTGCGAGAGCTCTTGATCCAGTTCTACAAATCGACCCGCTACAAGCCAACCAGGATCATCTTCTACAGGGACGGAGTGTCAGAGGGACAGTTCAGACAGGTATAACCTCTGGTTCCTTGTTTTATTCTCCATTTTTGCTGAATTCTTGCACGTTGCGTTTCCTTATATGGAGTGAACACATGATCTGAAGTTCTTGACTTTTCTGTGTAGGTGCTGTACTATGAGCTGCTGGCCATCAGGGAGGCCTGCATCGGTCTAGAGAAGGACTACCAGCCGGGGATTACGTACATTGTTGTACAGAAACGCCATCACACGCGCCTCTTCTGTGCAGATCGCAACGAGCGGGTGAGTAACACAGAGGAGGCACGTTATCAGTGGTACTCTGAGGGTCTTGTAATTTTTATGGCTGCCTACTTTCTATATCTGTTTGATTCATCTGATAAATTGGGGTCAAAGGTTATCTACCAAAATGGGTAAAAAGGGGTATTAAAGAGGAATTTGAAATCGAGGTCACTGATCACGCCTATACAAGGGATTTTGACCTTCTGAGATCAGTTTGTTAAATTCCCTCTCAGGTTGGACGAAGTGGAAACATTCCTGCCGGCACCACAGTGGACACAGACATCACCCACCCCTACGAGTTTGACTTTTACCTCTGCAGCCATGCTGGAATCCAGGTACGCTTTGAAACCTAAACTCACTGAAAACCATTCAACACTGTGGAGAACCATAGTGATAGATTCAATGCAGGATGCAAATATATACATAGCAGTATTCCTTCTTCTGTTTGCATCGCCTTTACTGAATTACTCCAGTACACTTGTGGTGGCCAGAATGCTGCAGATTTAAAGGGATAGTTCAGATGTTTTGAACTGTGGTTGTATGAGGCGCTTATCCATAGACTGTGTGATTATAGTGAATCCAAACTAACCTTTTTAAAACACCAAAGTCACACAATAACACAAACAAACTTGAGAAGACAATTTCTGAAGAAATTTCTGTATGAATGCTAGATGTTGAAAATCGGAAAAACGGTGGACGTTTGTATTTTCATATTGTCCAATCGTGGTTACTCGAGATCGCCGATACGCAATCCGATCGCCAGGCATGGCTCAACAACTAAAGGAGCTTTGGAATAATAACATCTTTAACATTTTTGCAAGCAATGCAGTTATAGTTACCTGAATAAACATCTATAAAAGCGTGTAATATCTTTATTGAAAATATTAGAACGTTCCTTTCCAAGCGTCTCTGAGAACTGCGGTGGCCTACAGGTGAAATCGGAGATACAGTCTACGTTCCGACCCTCAGCTATGGTCATGATGGTTTGTTGGTAACAGAAGGAATTGGATCGCTGATGCAAGTTCCTGAAATGAGTCATTACCAGCGGTGAAAGAATATTAAAGAATATCTAATCTTCCTCAACCACACTTCACCAGCAGAGGCTGGATGGATGAGTTTCTATCAAGTAACCAGACCTCCCCCTAATTTTAGCCGCTCGTTGTTAGTCCTCTCTCCGCGGAGCTGCTTCCTCTTGGGTGCGATTAACTCTGCTTTACCCCCCCTCCAGGGTACGAGCCGGCCCTCCCACTACCACGTTCTGTGGGACGACAACTGTTTCACCGGCGACGAGTTCCAGCTGCTCACCTACCAGCTGTGCCACACCTACGTCCGCTGCACGCGCTCCGTCTCCATCCCTGCACCGGCCTACTACGCCCACCTGGTGGCCTTCCGTGCCCGCTACCACCTGGTTGACAAAGAGCACGACAGGTGGGGAGAAACTCTTTTGGTTCAAATCAGATTAGACTTGCTGTTATGTCAGATTGCTCAGCATGTGTGACAAAGCAAAAACATTCAACTAGAATAGCTAGTGTGGTGTCATCTGAAAATGTTCAGTATGAAAGTCTAGATGAGTTGGTGGCTATGCAAGTTTAATGTAAAAAATGAATGAGACCGGTGAATTAATGTTTATTTTATCAATTTGTTTTGTACCATGAAGTGGCTCTATGAGACTTTATTATGTAGCAGGCATTTATTTGATACATTCTCCAGACAGGATTAATTCATTGTTTTGTTTTTTTAAATGTTACTCTCCATTACTTCTCTCCATCATTTCCCCCGGGCAGTGCGGAGGGCAGCCACGTCTCCGGGCAGAGTAACGGCAGGGACCCCACGGCGCTGGCCAAAGCTGTTCAGATCCACCACGACACACTGACCACCATGTATTTTGCCTGAACGCCTCGACCTCCCTCCATCTTTCTCAGCCAGTCTTAGTGGCTGACTCCCATCAGCCGCATCGAGTCAAAGTGCCCCCCCCCCCCCCCCCCCCCCCCCCCCCCCTCTTGTGCTGGTGCAGCTTTGATCACTGACAACGGCTGCGACTGCAGGATGTAGTAAGGATGTAGTAGTAAGCCAGAGAGGAGTTACAGCCACATTATGCAATTTGAAACCAGCCAATTGTTTGCATCTCTTGCATCTGTCTGTCACCTTCACCTCCTCTGCTGTGTTTCAATCACAATGGATTCTGTTTTGTTCTTAAAGTCACATCCTCGCCTTCCAATTTGGACAGCAGCTCAAAGTTTTTCCCACCCCCCTTGTGTTAAAATAATGGCGAGTACAAAAGCTGATGATTTTTTTGGTACATGGGTGGAAAACGGAGCCAGTGAAGACCCGACTCGCTCCGTAGCCTCCCGTTGAGCCTGTTGTTGCTGATTCTCATTGTAGATGCTTTTACATGTTTAGTTTGTGCCTTGTCAGCTTGTTTAGATACATAATAATGTATTCATGTGTTATTTCCCTCTCTCTCGAGCAAATGTGCAGCTGCCACAGCAACAGAATGCTCGAAAAAGAAACTAAAGCTTGACCCTTTTTTTTTTTTTTTTTTTTTTTTTTTTTTTTTTTTTTCTTAAAACGACGGTTACTCTTCTGTCTCCCTTTAAGCCAGTGGTTCCTCTCAGTCATTCAGCCAGACAGTAAGACGCATAGCACTGAATGAAATCTTAATTATTATTATTATATATATTTTTAAACGAAGCCACGTACAGCCATCGATGAAGCATTGTACATCGCATGATGCCTTCCTGCGAGGCGAGCTGCATGCAGACTGTTGGAATACAACGCCATGGCCTTCCCTCTCTCGTAGTTCAGCCTGTGTTGTACCAAAGCTTGTGCTGTTTTAATCCTCTCGCTAGTTTTGAATCCTCTTTCTTTCTGACTTAAACCAACGTTCAGCAATAGATCCGAGCAGAGCCGTTTATATCCTCTCACAGGTTTTACTCAAGGAACCGACCAGATTTTAGTTGTCAACGAAAACTCCTTTTGGTGCAATAAGGTGTCAGCGCAGAGAGTCGGTCCAGTGGTGGATGTTTTTCAGTGAGTATTCGCGCAGTAAAACTTTGTTTTGTTACGAGTGAGTTTTTGGCAAGTGACGATAAACTTGAGATTCGGAGACGTGTGTGTGAGCGGCATTCGACGTTCTGGTGGACGAGCGCTGCAGACGTGAGGGTCAGCGGTGAGGTCCGATGGTGCACGGAGAGATTAAACAAAGTGCCTGACTTGTGTAGAGCGTCAACTGTTGGTTTGGATGGAAAGCTTGTAATCGTACGTAGGTCTGGGTGCTTCTGTTCATACATTTAGTGAAATGCTCTCAGAATCCCCCCCCCCCCCCCACACACAACATATTGCAATCCAATACTTCTGTCCTGCCATGAGTTTGACTTTTCTGGTGCCTGTGTTTAGTTTCTGTTGACAAGTAATTTAATTTACATATTTCCGACAAAGCCAACAAAAACTAACCTTCATAAAGTTTTGTAGAGGTTCTTGCAGGACCGTTGTGTTGCATTAGATTGTACTGGTGTACCTGTGGCCACTGAGGGTAGTTGTTGGTGTACTGAAGCAGTAGGACTCACTGCCGGTTGAAGACTTCATGTTCACATTTCAGAGTCTTTATCACCTACTGTAGCTTTGCTGCGCTTGTCCTCGGAGGAAGTCTGGGTTTCAGTTCTTTTAACAGTTCTGAGTAGGGCTGCAACTAATAATTATTTTCACCATCGACTAATTGTTTTGTCTAAACGTATCACAAATGTCTGTTCTAACTTCCCTCAGCCCATGGAGATGTATCGGATATCTTGTTTTGTCCCCCCAACAGTCTAAAAACTCAGAGATACACACTTTACTGTCACATATGACAGAAAAACATCAAATTTCTCACAATTTCTGGCTTTTATTGCTTGAAAACTGAATTAATGATCTAAATGGTTTCAATTATTTTTCTTTCCACGGATTTATTAACAAATCACTGCAGCTCTAGTTCTGAGAGAAAACAGTCTTTATGCAGTAAGGAACTGATTTCCTGCTACATTTGGACACACTGGTTGCTAATCGATCCCAAATAATATCACATGAAAGGACCTCTTCTAGCAGGAATCCAACATTATGAAGTTTATCTATATTTCTTAGGCCTTTAATCGGTCATTGTTGCAAGAACGTCTTCGGTTTTTCAATGCCCAGCCGTTGAATGTGCTCAGTCATGGCCTTGCAGTATAGTTTAATACAGACGAAGCCTTGAGGTTTCATCACTTGGACCAAACCAACGTGCCTGGTCGGGTGGGGGTGGGGAAGGGGTGAGGGTGGAGGACTTGGGGGCGGGGCCTTACAGCATCGAGCTGATCCGCTCTGTACTGCTTACTGTGCATGTCACCAGAACCAAACCTAAGCTGCTATGAGAAAAACACATTTATTTAATATTTCATCAGATACATATAGGCTATATATTAATACACAGAGATTAAGAGAATAATGGTATTTTACTGCACTAAGAGTTGTTTTTATGGTTGGACAGAGACGGGATTGTTGTTCAAAGTCGCCCACGATTCACAACATTTTAATTCTGAGGATGTATCTGAGCAGCTTGTCTCCCTTTGTTTGTCATGCTGGAGCTGTTTCCTAATGTCAGACATTACCAGCATTTCAGTTACTTGAAGAGAATTAGTCGTGGGCATGTCTAACATTGTTGGCTAACGCTCTGCTTGTTTTTTTGGAAGCCTTAGTACCTTTTTTACGGCGTACAGTAAATTCACCTCCGACAGAGCTGGACATCAGACGCCTTCGTCCTCAAGAAATACAAAGCATTTTTAAGTCTGAATTGAGATATATTTATATGTAGAGGTATTAATGTAATGCACACACCACTTATTTTTTTTTTTTTTTTAACAAAGTCCTGTTTGAAACGGAAGCCGTATGGAAGTATGGCCGTGTAATAACCGTGGTGGTCTGTGATTTGATAATGCAATAGGTTTACTTGTGTGGAAAGCAAAGCTGATATGTATTTGCGGCGTCGGCCTGCTTTGTGGAGAGACCGCTGGGGGGGGGGGGGGTCGTTTTTGTGTCGCGCAAGTGATGGGATGAACCATCAACCCTCCTCCGTGTGAAGAACTCCCTCTGCTGTTGTTTTATCATCTCAAAAGCTCATCAAAGAAGTGGACTCTGAACTAGATCCATTTCTCAATGCACTTGCTAAGCAATGCCTTTTTTTAAAAAAAAAAAAATAAAAAATTTTATTAGTTTTTTTTTTTTTTAAATTCTTCTTGCATATTCATGAGGGGAGCAGGAGGAGGGTTGAAAGTTCATCCTCAGACCGATTGTATCCGTAAACAGACTGTGCCTTTCCTGATGGTGCTGAAACAATAACAAACTAAGTAAATCAAAGAAATCTTAACTTTCAGAAAGGGCCCGCAGGCCCGAGTCTACATTGACGAGTATATATTGATACATGACAATACTGTAAGGTGTGATTGTGTGCGTATATGTATTTGTTTTACGTGTGTGTGTGTGTGTGTGTGTGTGTGTGTGTGTGTGTGTGTGTGTGTGTGTG